GATGGATGGAAGGACAAATAAACAGATGGATAGATAGATGGGCAGAGAGACAGATGGACAGATAGATGGATGGATGGACGGAAGCACAGATAGACAGATGGATAGATGGACAGATAGACAGATGGAAGGACAGACAGATAATTGGACGGACAGAAGGACAGACAGATGGACGGAAAGACAGATAGACAGATGGATAGATGGACAGACGGACGGAAGGACAGACAGACATGCAGAAGGACAGATAGACAGATGGATAGATGAACAGATAGATGGACGGACAAACAGATGGACAGAGTGAGATATATCTTACTCTGTTTCTATTTGCATATAATAGAACCCAGAGACACAAGTTATGATATTAGAAGAACATCTCCCCCAAAGCACATTTGAGGCCCTGCCAAAATATGACCCATTACCTCAACTATTGGAAGCTGTGATCCTAAAGGAGGATCACATGGAGGAATCGTACTCACAAACACACACAAATGAACAGAATACACATGTACTACTACACACACTGTAACCAGAGCTCTGGCAGCAGCTCCCAGCAATGTTTGTTTTGTGAAAATCTTCTTGGCATGTAGAGTAAGATGGAACGGATCGGTCTCATGGTCGCTGAGTTGTGTGTGTGTGTGTGGAATGTATAAGGGTGAAGAAGATAATGATCTGCTCTCATGTCTCACTCATGGCCTCCACAGGGATGAGGGCAAATATGTTTTTAAGAAATATGCTTTATAATGTACTTACACACATAGATCATAAATATTTGTTTATTTTTCAGATCTTTAAATGTCAAGTCAAGTCTGCTTTATTGTCAATTCTTCCACATGTACAGCACATACATACAGAGAATTGAAATTGCGTTACTCTCAGACCCTTGGTGCATACAGATAACACTAACAGCAGAACATAAATGTGACCCTGGACCACAAAACCAGTCTTAAGTCACTGGGGTATATTTGCAGCAATAGCCAAAAATACATTGTATGGGTCAAAATTATTGATTTTTCTTTTATGCCAAAAATCATTAGGATATTAAGTAAAGATCATGTTCCATGAAGATATTTTGTACATTTCCTACTGTAAATATATTCAAACTTAATTTTTGATTAGTAATATGCATTGCTAAAAACTTCATTTGGACAACTTTAAAGGCGATTTTCTCAATATTTTGATTTTTTTTTCACCCTCAGATTCCAGATTTTCAAATAGTTGTATCTCGGCTGAATATTGTCCTATCATAACAAACCATAGATCAATGTAAAGCTTATTTATTCAGCTTTGAGATGATGTATATATCTCAATTTCGAAAAATTGACCCTTATGATACCCTTACTGGTTTTGTGGTCCAGGGACACAAATGTTCTCACCTGTTTCTTCAACTTTGAGCACTTTTATGTTCTGCTGTTGATTTTTATTAGGAAAAGGGAAAAGTCACCTTATCTATTTTCTAAATGCATGTTATGAAGTTTATAAATATATTCAAACTTAATTTTTGATTAGTAATATGCATTGCTAAAAACTTCATTTGGACAACTTTAAAGGCGATTTTCTCAATATTTTGATTTTTTTTTCACCCTCAGATTCCAGATTTTCAAATAGTTGTATCTCGGCTGAATATTGTCCTATCATAACAAACCATAGATCAATGTAAAGCTTATTTATTCAGCTTTGAGATGATGTATATATCTCAATTTCGAAAAATTGACCCTTATGATACCCTTACTGGTCCAGGGACACAAATGTTCTCACCTGTTTCTTCAACTTTGAGCACTTTTATGTTCTGCTGTTGATTTTTATTAGGAAAAGGGAAAAGTCACCTTATGTATTTTCTAAATGCATGTTATGAAGTTTATTGTGAATGGTTTATCTTTGCATAGATAAATGTTTTATTTTGAGCTCGGAAATTTTTAGTCAAAGTGTCTCTGATCTTCTGAAGATACAACAGAATTTTATTTGGTGACATATGTTGGATTTCTCCAATCCTTTAGTACACTTAAAACCCACTTTCTTCTTACAGTCAACTGCAAGTCTCCATCCAATCAATAACAGCCTGATAGAACCTGTGTGTTTGTGTGTGTGTGTAATGCTAGCTAAAAAGTTCTGTCCACACGAACTCAGTTATTTTCAAAACCGCAGCTTTTTCTATGCGGTTAGGCCGTTCGTCCACACGCAAACGCAGCACCAGTTCACTGAAACTGAACATTTTTGAAAACTCCTGCCAGGGTGAAGATTTTCAAAAACTCCGGTTGCAGTGTCATCAGTCTGCGAAACCGAAGATTTTGGCTTGTGACGCTGGAGCATGCACTGTTATCTCCCTCTACTGGAAACTTTTTCAGGCTTCTGATTGGCCAACATGGCTTTACGGTATAGATAATATCGCCACCTGTTGGTTTGGCATGCTCTTGACAGTGCTTCATAGCATGCGTTTGCGTTTTCATGTGGACGGAGATTTTTTTTAAAACGGAAGGAGGAAAAACTCAGTTTATAGAAATACCTTAGTGGACATGGCCTAAGATATTTACAAAAAAGCCATTTTATTTTAATTGTGTAAAATATTTTCCACCACAAAGTGGAAATGTTCAAGACCTTCATGGAGAAAATAATTATTGGTTACATTGTTGAACAAAAGTGAAAGTGTGAAATATGAGTTCACTCTCTTATGTGTATTCTACTCCAATAGCATTTTATGTCCCTACAAAGTAAACTCTCCTCTTTTCTGAGCTATTTATAAGGGTCCAAATTAAAACAAATGCTCTGCTACAAAAGGTAGTGTTTCTGTTTTTGTCTTGTAATTAACTACGTAGACAACTTGTAATATTACTCATATTAAAAAGTTGTTTTGTTGAAAGCATTGATCATAGCTTCTCTATACATTTACTTTTTAGATCTACTTTCTCTTTACCTTTACCCTAGCTATCTGCCTTAAGGCTTAGTTGAGTCCAGTGGACTAACTCTCATCTGGTTTCTATTTTCCCTGCGTTGTCTAATGAAACCTGACCGTTTTTAAAAGATCTAGAGTTATGGGCCTATCAGTAAATACCATATTCTCCCTTTGAAGTTGCCTGGGCTGTGGAAAGTGGTAAGATGTCATGTGTTAAAATTATGGCCTGATTCCTTAAAACTAATCTACTCTGCTTGACATGGCCAGGTTTTAGTGCATGTATGCTTTATTTATCTTGACAACTGGCAGGCAAGGCCTTTTTCAGGTTTGCCCAGATGTCAAGTCCTTTTTGCATCTAGCTTAATGTTTTTTTCCCCTATGACCCCCTGAGGAACACTAAAACACTAGAGAAGAAAAAAAATCTAAAGAAAACAAGAGAGCAAATATGATGCATGTCTATGCAGCTGGATGACTGTTGTTGAGTCATTTAAATTCTAGACCCAATACAATTTTACCTTAATGTATATCATTATGGTGATGTTCCCCTATGACCCCCTGAGGAACACTAAAACACTAGAGAAGAAAAAAAATCTAAAGAAAACAAGAGAGCAAATATGATGCATGTCTATGCAGCTGGATGACTGTTGTTGAGTCATTTAAATTCTAGACCCAATACAATTTTACCTTAATGTATATCAGATGTTTTGCTACAGGTATAAGGGATTCATTTCATTGGTCACTGATTCATACATTCTTTCGCTGGTTGTGCTCAATTTTGCATTTTTTTTTTAATGAACAGCTATACTAAAAAGAGTTAACATATGAATTCAAATTCATGTTTAAAGTCACATTTTTCCCCATTGATTACCTTCAGGATTAAAATCTACATCAAGATCATGTCTTTCTGACAGTTCATCGTAATAAAGTTCTGTTGTTCCTTGGTTACAGGCCTCCCAGCTGTTTTTGGTAAATGAATGATAGTAGCCATGCAATATCAAGTGTGAGAAATGCCAACATTTCTATTACCGCTCAAGTGAAATATGTAAAGTTAAAAGCAAGAGATGAGTAGATACTGTTGGTGCATAAGTCCATTAGGCCATGATGTAAACTTTTTCTGCCCTGCTCTCTTGGCAGATGAGCGGCAATGCAAAGAGTCTGGCCACAGTAAGTCTGGGTTTGTTTACCTAAGCCGCTTACTGGTCTACTCTACAGTAAAAAAATGTGTAATGGACCTGTAAACCCTCTGTGGTTTACATTACCACCATTGGAAAAGAAGACGAAAAACATTTGACTAAAAAGGTAACACTTATATATATACATACTGTATATATATATATGTGTGTGTGTGTGTGTGTGTGTGTGTAATTATTATTATTATTTTTTTTTTTTGTAGTTTGTTGACTGAAGGCCAACATTGTTCCATAATGAAAAAATTAAATATATTATAATGGAACAAGATAAAACAATTTGATATTATTGAAACATCCTGAAGGAACATTTCATTCAAGAACATTGGCTATAAAAATACACTTTTCACAGGGGAAAAGGTGGCACGGCAACACATAAGCTCAACTTCTGAAAGAGGAACCAAAATTCTGTATGTAGATGATATGATCAGTTTCTGTTTCTTAGTATTGGACCCTTTCTTCTTGGTGAAGTAAGCATGCATTTGTTGCTTGGTACTTTGTTACATCAAGCCAAATGTGTTCATGTTACCTGGAGTCTATATCGTACCATAGAGGGCTAAATGTAAGTATACTGGCAATCCAAATGTTCTCTGGGCTTCTCAAATGCAAAAATATTTTTTTTAACTTTGTGATCCATGTAATTTCAATGAAATGCACAGCAGAAGGTGATATTGCTCTGTGGGACTGTTCCCACCATTGAGTTTCTTCATGAGGTGTACTGACACAGAACAAGCACTCACAAAAACACACTCCCTAATCCCCACACAGCAAAAATGGAAGTGTTCAGGCGCTGGCTGCAGCATCCATTACAAGAGAGTGGATTTCACAATCAAAGCTCTCTATTGTTCTTTAGGATTGAGACTGAGCCATGTTAAGATGTCTAATACCATATGCACTGAGGTTTTCCATTCCCAAACACTCACTTTCAGCCAAACCACCTTTTCACCCCGTGTATACCTTAAGGTGACGTGGTTGCAGACATATCACTGCTGTTGGGATCTGTCGAACAATGTATGTCTTTGGAAGGAAGAATGATATAGGATAACAGAAAAGACGCAAGGATTTGAGGGATGATCTATCATTTTGTACGTGTGCCATGTTGCAGAGGCTTGTGAGGAGTAATTTAAGCAGATACAGTTCTGGGAAGCCAGCACGCAGCTGACTGAAATGGAATCTGGAGTACGGGAGTGTTGCTGAGCAGCGGCGTGGAGATGGAGTTACTCATGACTCCGAGTGGTGTTACTTTTCTGCAGTGCCAGCTGGCCCGCCGTGCATCGGGTAGGCCTTAGGTTACATGGTTAGAATGCAATCACTGCTTGAGGTTATTGGTTTTGTTCAGACATATTTTTCAGGGTATGCCGCATCTCTTGGGCCTAGTGAATTTGAAATAGCAGAAAACTGTCTTGAGATATCTGAAATGAAGCACTTTGCTGGCAGAAATTCAAAATGCTAAAAAAATTTGATCCGTTTTTCCTTCTGGCTTGGTCTAGTCTCCTCTTGATCGTTTAAAAAGCACAAAGCACATTTGTTTCTACATGCTTATCATTGACTGATGCATACTGTCCAGTAATTATCTATCATAAAGAGATTATGTATTTTTTTAATTTTTATTATTGCAATGCACAGTTCTTTTGACACGTTTTTTTTAAAGCAATAATATGGTTTACTGTGAGGCACTTACTGTACATTGGAAGTGAATGAAACTAATCTGAAAACAGTAAAATACTCAGTTATGATATAGTGACATGATTTTAGTGTGAAAAATTGTTCTTTTATATCTAAAGTTATATCCATTTTGTATTTATATCTAAAGTTAAATCCATATATCCATGACGAAATATTGCTTAAAACCCTAGAACAACGGTAAAAATTCAGACTTTACAGTTCAAAATTAGAAGAATTAAAGGGGTCATATGATGCAATTTCAATTTTTCCTTTCTCTTTGGAGTGTTACAAGCTCTTGGTGCATAAAGAAGATCTGTAAAGTTGCAAAGACTAAAGTCTCAAATCCAAAGAGATATTCTTTTTAAAAGTTAAGAGTCAGTCACACCTACCTAAAACGGCTCGTTCTAACACACCCCCACATACCTACGTCACTATGTGGGAAGATTTGCATAACGCCGCTCAAATGTTCACGCAAAGAAAGAAGGCGTAACTTTTATTCTCGCTGTAGTATTGTTGCCGCCGCCGCCATGTCGTGAAGGCGCTGTGTGATTCGTTGTGAAAGCGAAACTACTTTGTTTGGCCTTCCAAAAGAGGACGATATCGCTTCGTCATGCCTGGAGCTGATCCGTGCTGGTCGCTGAGGAAATACTTCAACTTCGCGCTGTAGATCGTCGGATCGGCTTTCACCATGGACGAAGTGGAGTCCAGCCCGGGGTCGTCACATGTGGTTGCCGCAGGCATCACAATATGGTAAGGGACGTAACATTTCCGTCACACACTTGAGGAATTCGGCCAATCACAATGCACTGGATAGCTGGCCAATCAGAGCACACCTCGTTTTTCAGACCGATGAATTTTGTAAAAATCGACGTGTTTCAGAAAGGCAGGGCATAGAGGAGAAACAATAAAGTACATTATATGGAAAATAATGTATTTTTTTAACCTTAAACCGCATAAACACATTTCATTACAACAAATACACAAAATAATGTTCTTTTTAGCAGCATCATATGACCCCTTTAAGAATTTCTGCTTTGAAATTCTCCAAAAATGACACAAAGTAAAACCTTTTTTGTAAGTTTTTGTAAAAACTGCTCATGCTACATGTATGTAGCATCTTTGTTTGGACTGTGATTAAAATGCAGTGGTTGCTTCTAATTTCAAATGGCCAGTTCAGCCTGTAAAAGAGCAAATAAAAAGCTTGTTCATTTACTCATTCATTCTTTCTTGTCTCTTGCTTAAAGAAAAAAAAAATCTGCTATCAGAATCAGCCCATTTGCTGGCAATCGGAATCTCCATGAAAAATCATGATCTGTGCATCTCTCGCTTTTGTAGATAGCCTACTGGTTAGTTTCCTCAAACAGTCATAACTTTGGCCAGTCACAGCAAGTTAAGAGCGATCAAGTACAGTGGTCTACTTAAACTGGTATACACACACATAAAAACACACAGTAGACAGTAATAGCAGAATTAAAAGTAGCAGAACAAATTAGATTGCAAAACAAAATGAAGAGCTGGCAGAGAAAGAAAAGTAATGTGATAACATATAAATGGGGAAAGTAAAAAGAGGAAAAATATGTGGGAATGTTTATGAAATGTATTGAGCACATATAGCTAAGAGTTCTCAGTTCTAAGAACTTTGTTTAACATTCTGGTAAGTTTCTCTCAGAGGTTCTTCTAGTAACATTAATAGAACATTTGTTCAAAGTTTTCAGTCAAATATGTAATATTTCTGAAAAACATTAACACACAATTGTTATTTCTACATCGTTCATTGGGTGTTTTTTTCTGAAATGTCTTAGACATTTGTCTAACTTTTTTTTTTTTAAACAAAAATTTTGTACATGTTTTAGAACATTTAGAGAACATTCAAAAGTAGCATCCCCATGCTTGAAATGATAAATGTAAGAGGTTTTCTAAAAAAAAAAAAGAAGGATGTTTTGAATATTCAGAGAGGAATAATGTTTGCATAAATTAATGAGAACATTAGTAAAATGTTCTTGAAACATATTTTTGTTAACTGGGTATTGGGTTTGTCTTAAAAGGGCTTACATTTCAATCACAGTCACTCAGACATTCCCATGAATATCATTGTGAAATGAGCTAAATACCTGCTCCTATTGTCTTTTCCAGTGGGTTTCTCAAGCTCTTTGCAGAATGAGTGAAAGAAGCCATCAAGCTGCCTAATTATGTGACTATATCACCATCTGAGGGAAGGCTGCCTCTAAAGAATGGCCCATCTGTTAAAGACTGTGGCCTGAGGGTCTGGCTGAAAGAAGAAGCTTTGAAAAGCCATGGATCGATGGCTTCATCTCAGAATGGCAGAGAGCCACATAGAGACCCCGCACAACACTATCCCACCTTTATACGAGCGAAGGTTAATGCCGGGCCATATGTCACGGTGAGATGGTTCAAAGTTCTGACTGATGTCCAAATGGATTCTGGTTGTGCACATTGTGTTGTGGTAGCTCAGAGAAGTTTATAATTTCAAAATTGATAATAATTGGGTTTTACACAATTTGCAGGGCTAGGCTTGTAAATCAAGTCTTTTTATAATGTTAAATGATGCTTCTATTCATGTCCAAGCATGGTGCAATATGCTCTGTAACATATTCTTCTGCATTATTTTATATTACATTATGCGCCACTGAGTAAAATTAGGATTTGCTTGCAACATCGTACCTTTCCTCGTTGGTAAATGAAGCTTTCCAGCAAACGTAGTTTTACAACATTTCTGCTGGCTCTGCAACACAGGGAACTCTGTTTGTATGGCCTGAACATATACAATATATATGCTGTAGAAAAAGAAGCTCTTTGATTTAAACTGGAAGCAGATGTGTGTCAATGCCTTCTGATATAAGGTGAAGTATTAAAAGAAAATAAGTTTGCACCATTTTTGCTGAGAATCACATAATTAAAATCATTAATGCCTCACAAAAAGGCTAAGCCTTAACTTAAAAAACACAATGCCTCCAGCATGTGAGCCAATCGTCATGCATGAAACTCGTTAGATGCAACAGCTTTTCTTTTTTCTTTTTTTTCTTTTTAGAAATGGTACCAAAATAGCACTGAATCTAACGGTCCTCGTTAATAGCTTTTGCCTGCTTGGATGGATTGATCTCACCAACAGGCAGAAGACAGGAGATTAATGGATCCTGGTTGCATACTCAATTACGAGAAATGCATTTGTGAAGCAAACTGCCAGTGACTCTAATCTGAAGAATTCTGACTCCCTCCCGAGGTCAGTAATTGGGTGTCTTTTTTTTTTTGCTCTCTCTCTCTCTCTCTCTCTCTCTCTCTCTCTCTCTCTCTCTCTTTTCTGTCTGCCCCTCCAGCAGGCCTGGACATGTACTGAAGCTCTTTGAAATGCATCCTCCTTCAGGCCAGCCAAAAACATGCTTTCTCAGAAACTAAATGCTCTTTCTCACCCTCAGAATCATTTGGGAATTTGAAGATCTGCACAGTACAAGCTGAAATCTGGGTTCATGTTCCTATTCGCTTATCGCTAATCGCTAATGTTATTGCTCTTGCGTCTTCTGCTCAAAGTCTATTGAACTAACTTGCTTTTCTATCTTTTAAAATATTCAAATTCTCATACTCTGCAAAGAGAATAAATTATTATGAATATAAATACTAACTTCATTGCACATTGCATTCATTAGTACATTTTGATTTCAGTAGATCATTATATATTTAGAATACTATCTGTAATCTAAACTAATAATCTAAACTGAATGTCTTGAGATTATGAGCACCGCTTGATGTGAGATCATGGTAGATCTGAGTCATTCTGATATCACCTTTCCACTTCAATTAAGGTTGCCATTGACATCAGAAATAGCTGGGATGCTAAGCAGTTTCAACCCCAAAGGAACAAAAACAAAGACACCAAACCCATAAATGTCTCAACATGACCTAACAAGTGAGACAAGAACCTTGAGAATGCAGTTTAGCTGAAGGGTACAACTGTGGAAATGTATATCTACTATGTTGATCAGTGATTTGTTTAGTCAAAGCCACACTCACATACATACACTTACTTAATAGTTAATTAGTCACAAATTAAATGATGTCTTTGTTGAGTCCTTATTGTGTCTGAACACATACAACTGCAGGTAGTTCATCAATCAGTTTTGCTATAATGAGAGTTTTTGACTGACATGTGTGTTAAAGGGAGATTTTTTGGGATGTGTGTTTCAGTTTGCTTTTGCATTTGTTCCCCGTTATACAGGAAACATACAGTACATTAATGGTAATTTTCCCTACAGCTGCATTGAAAGCTAGAACAATCCAGCATGAGTTTTCTACGACTTGTGGGAGCCATGCTGCGCTCACAGTTTTTCCCAACAACCTCCTCTGACACCGCCAGCAATTCCTAAACCCCTCAAAGTTCCCAGCCAAAGCAGAGGGAAGAAGGGAAGGAGACAGTGAGAAAGCTAAAGCTGCTGTGTTAACCAGCTTACTGCAATTAGAATTTATTTAGGGCTTACAAGGAATCCTTTCACTATTGAATAAATCAGGGCTGATATGACATGGTTCAGGTGGAAGTGGTGATTTCAGCGCAGGTCTTGTCTCCTTGTAATTACCCTGTCCCACCTTCAGCGCTCTGGGCTGCTGCTCTTGAGCGAGCGCTGGAAACTCGAACCCCCCACTGTCCCGCAGCCTTCACTGTGCTTATAATCATGTTGTTAAAAGAAATGTCAGTACACCCCAGTGGTTCCATTTGAAGAGTGCAGGTGAAGTGTTCGGCAGATACCTCACTCTCTTAGCTGGCAAGACGCCACTGTGAAGTGGTTCAGGGGTGCTAATTAGAGTTTGTAAGCATGTTTAATTAGAGGCAAATTTCCATGTCATTATCAAAAAGAATTGATACTGGATGGCTTTGGATCAATTCATTTTTATAAATGTTATATAATTCTATTCCATCCTTTCTAATTAAAAAATATAATACATATTTATGCATTTTTACTTATATATACTTATATTTAATTTATGATATAATATTTATCTTATGTTTTGTATTATATGTTTTCTTAAATTATTTTATGCAAATGCAATTTTCCATGCATGAAGCATAGCATTTGTTCCGTTTTATTCCAATTTTTTTTATCAATATATATATTAATGTCACTGTTTGGTGAAGGTAATGGAGTTCCACGCCTAGAAATACGTTGTAATTCCATGGCTTCATCCAGCAAAACAAAGTTACTCTTTCTCTCCATACACCCTCCTATGCTCCCCACCTCTGTGACTACACAGGTCTGTCTGAAGACTTGACAGTCTATATATTAAACTGTCAAAACTCAACCGTTTGTGACAAGCTCTGGTATGAGTCACTGCCCTTCGCAGCTGTGAGAAAATAAAATAAAATAAAAACTCCCATCCATACTTTACCCTCTGGACAGAGAAGATGAAGTCATATTCATGGGCTGAATTTGTCAACTTGCCACTTCATCTTTTTTGAGCTCAGAGTCCAGGCTCATTTTGTCATTAACGTCCATTATGTTTCCAGATGTGACAGTATAATTTGTCCATCATGTCAAGAATGCTGAGTTTGTTGATGGTTTTACTCAAATAAAGTCAACTCAGTGACTTTAAATAAATAAAAAAATAACTTTTTATACAGTTTGTTTTTTTATGATAAATTATTTTATAAGTTTCAGGAAGAGCTGTTTAAAATAAAATAAAATAATAAAAAGGTTTCAGGAGGAACTGTTTTCTTTTTTAATAAAAGGTGCCTTACAATAAATAAAACAACTTTTTTTATATACAGACTACTTTATGTATCATAAATATTATACTATTTTATGTTTATAATTTTTTATATAATAATATTTTCTGCATAACAGCATATATTTTATATTTTCATGAATCTGTCACCTATGTTGTCAAAAAAGAGTCTTTTAAAACGATTACTGCCTCTATTATTCTCTTTGTATTATTCTAACTCTTTCTGCTTTTTGATCGGCTCACCTGTAAATCTAGTTTGTACTGTATAGTTTATGTAACCAGAGTGTAGTTCAACTAACACTTTGCCCAAGAGAATTTTCTTAACCTTTATTTGAGGTGTGTAAAAGTGAAGCTTAACATAATCATTACCACAAAGCAAATAAGATTATGGTTGCAAATGCTGGGCCTTTCATATCTCTCAGCAGCAGGCTTGTCCAAGGACTGTAACGGTGCAGAGAGACGACTTCTGTTAAGATTGGCAAAGCACCTAAATAAACCACGATGACAAGACTAAGAGCTGCACAAACAAAGGATTAGGTGAAAGATGAAAGGAAAGGAGAACGGATTGTAATTTATCTTGAATGAAATGTGTGCTACTGTGTACAGTCAAGGGATGTAGTGACAAAGGGTTGTACTCTTTGTAGCTGCCATGTGATTGTATATCATGTTCATAATCATTATGCAGTGTCGATTTTGCTCACACACTCATATTTTGTTGGTAAATGTTTTTGTCATTCCAGGTAGACCCTCTTAACTGTTAATGATATGAATTAAATCAGTCTATATAGTTAAATCAGTCTGCAAACTGCATATATTAAGTTTAAATATTGAACAACTAGGCATGCTGCTACATTTATAGTGGATTTATAATTCCTTATTGTACCTACAAATATTTTAATTTTAGAGAGTATTCTTATATAGTCTTATATAGTTCTCGTGTTATGAGGACCCCAAGACTGTAATTATAGAGAAATCTTTAGGGAAATTTTAAGACACAAAATAAAAAAAAGTTTCAGAAAGAACTGTTTTCTATTTTAATATATATTTTATATGTAATGTATTCCTAATATGCTGATTTGATGCCCAAGAAACATTTCAATGTTTCAAACATTTGTGACCCTGGACCACAAAACCAGTCTCAAGTGTCAATTTTTCGAAATTTTGATTTATACATAAGCTGAATAAATAAGCTTTCCATTGATGTATGGTTTGTTAGGATAGGACAATACTTGGCCGAGATACAACTATTTGAAAATCTGAAATCTGAGGGTGCAAAAAAATCTAAATATTGAGAAAGTCGCTTTTAAAGTTATCCAAATAAAGTCCTTAGCAATGCATATTACTAATCAAAACTGAAGTTTTTATATATTTACGGTAGGAAATTTACAAAATATCTTCATGGAACATGATCTTTACTTAATATCCTAATGATTTTTGGCATAAAAGAAAAATCGATCATTTTGACCCATACAATGTATTTTTGGCTATTGCTACAAATATCCCCCAGTGACTTGAGACTGGTTTTGTGGTCCAGGGTCACATTTTTGTTCATTTTGAGAGACATTACATGCCTTGATATATCATGTCATCAGACAATCTACTGTCGGCATTAATATTTTACCAGGGACTCATGTTGATTTTTACACAAAACCTTCTGTAACACTTAAATTGTGTGGTGTGGTCCAAATTAACAGCAGCTTTCTTTAACCTCTGATTCTGAGGCGTCTGCTGACACACTGACAAACAGACAAAGCCACACTTCACCCATGAAACCTGGACCCTGACAGGGCTTGTTGCTACTCAGTCGAGCCTGGCATCTTGCTTCAGGACCTGGCTTTAGGACCCCTGACTGTTGGCCATGGCGTGCCCTCTGAGAAGTAAGACAGTGAGACCTGACAGCGAGACCTGACAGCTCTGAGGCCGGACCCAGGGACGTGCTGTCACAGCCGCACAATGGAGCTCCGCTGGTGTAGCTAGGACATCAACAACACCCAGCTTCCTGCTGGCGGATTAGAAGGACCACGACTACAAAGAGGCATCTGACAAGAAAGCCCGTCTTAAATTGGGCATTAAATTTAACATTCGGTCACAGGGTTATAAGTATTCAACGTGAGATCATGAAAAACAGACATTAGTGTTGGGGGAAAAAAAGTTGAGTGAATTTTTCTAGGTGCTTAGAATGGGATAACGGTACTAAACATTACAGCACTTGGGGTGCTTCTTACTCCATAGAAATCCCATTATAACCCTCTCAAAAGAACTGCATGGTCCTAATGAAGCAAAAACGGAGGAATGCAGCATTCCCCAAAGGTTCTTGTTTATTCTAAGACAGATTACAAAATTAATTTGGCCTCTTGCCCGTATCACAGAAGTCTAATTAATCCAGGATTCAAGACAGACATATACTTGGATCCAGCATTCGTTGGCGATGGGGATTGTAATCAGCTTGAAGCTTCGAAGAAGCAAAGACTGGAATCTCTTCAAAAGGCTCTCCAATGCATATTGGTCACAC